GTCCTTAAAAATTCATTTTCTTCACTCTCATCTTAATTTCTTCCCACAAAACTGTGGAGCTGTGAGTGACGAACATGGAGAAAGATTCCATCAAGACATTGCCTTAATGGAACAGAGATATCAGGGCCGTTGGAATGAAGCAATGCTTGCAGACTACTGCTGGTCTGTGTGTAGGGATGCTCCAGAAGTGTTTTATAAAAGACAAGCTAAACGACAGCGATCTTACAATGAATCGGATGGACTTAATTGAAATTTGGTGGTACAAACTTCTTTTATTTGTCAAAACACTAAGAATAGTGTTTTTTTTTTATTAATTTTGTACTTAAAATATTCTAAAAGAAACATAACAATATTGTTTTATGTACTTTCACTTTTCACGTATAGTATAACTACTCTTTAAGATTGAGTAGGTACTGTGTATCTCAAAAACCAGAGTTAATAAAAATTTTTCATCGTCATTTTCGTTTTTATCACCCCAAAATTAGTAGAAATTGACTAATTTAGTGTAGGAAACATTCAAAAAATATTTTTTTGTTGTGTTGTGTAATCTGATGATTTCGATCTGACGCAAACTCGCGGCCATTATTATAATGTGCAAAAAAAATTCGCCATTTTGAAATACTGAAGCGCATCAGATTGGGATATATATCGTTCATCTCCATGTTCTAGACGTGCTGTCTCATAATCTGATGATTATCTAGAGGGATTCGCCTAATCTGACTGAATTCGACACTTGATTTTTCAGAATAATGTGAACATTACTATATTGAAATATATACAATTATTTCCTATTCCTGAGGATTCTCTATTTTTGTATCAATTTGAACTTCTAGGAGAATAGCGATCATTTGAAAAGTTCTGGAACAATTACAAAACTTTTCATGAACGATGCTGACAGTTATTTTTTGGAATTCCGTTATCTTGTAAATTCCAGTTTTTTCTCAATTGTATACGATCGCGTCAACCACTGAGGGTTATCAACAAAAGAACAGTGATGACTTGATAATTGAGATTTCAAGTATTTTTATGTTGTGTAACATACTGATGTCTTCAATTCCAGGTTTGTTAGAATACTTCTACAGATATTCCTTCATTCATTTCCTTCCTACGAAAATATTTAACTCAATTTTCAAGACAATGTGAACAAGCTGATGAAATATGCTTCATTAATCTGGGTCATATAATCCAAAAGAAAACAGCAGCTGATGATAATTCCTAATCTATATTTGTTCATGTACTTACATTTTGTATAAATTTCATTTCAACATAAATGAAAATCATAAACAATGGTAAACAAGTTTGTTGTAGATATACGACAATCACTGATTTCGTTCTCTTACGAATACATACATACGTTCATATAGAGGGAGAGTTGTTACCAAAAATTGAAATCCGATAAGTTGAATACTGATAATAGTGAAATTTGATTTTTACATGCATATGTACATATGTATAAATATGTGAATATATATGAATATGTTTGTATGTATGTGTGTAAATGTGTGTATTTCATTTCCCATGTGACGTATTCTGTACCATTTTGTGATCTTGAAGGATTCAATAAACATTATTATTATTATTATTAAAAAGCTACTGTGTTAGTGAAACATGTTTTCTGTTTAAAATCTGTTTTTCCATTAACCAGCTGTCGCACTCCTACGAACGACAACCCTCAAAAGTCGAAACTTGTGCGAGCTAAGGATTATCGAAGTCTTACCATTTAACGTGTGATTCCTAACATATTTCTTTTAATGAAGTTTGTGGAGATCAAATCGTACGGTGTAGTTTATGGAATTACTATGGATCTTCATCAAGTAACGTCCGAATCAATCAGAAAAAAAATTGTTACATAATATTTGAAAAACGACAATAGATGCCATACAAATTCATATGAAGAATTCTATGTATATAGAAAAAGAAACCTATATTCAATAACTCTGAAATATTTTATACACTGACCAGTTACTTGGTGATAATAATCACATTTTCACAATATAGACTTATAATTATTATTAGAAGTGTATGTATGTATTTTCCGAGCTAGATTTCATTCAAAGTTATTATATTAGAAATATTATCTAATCTTGGTTTACATCATTATTTCAATTCAAAAACATTTTTTAAGTTCAGATAAATGTAAACCAAAAAAAGTCACATAGAATGTTTCTCATCAATAAAGGCGATACTTATTTACGTTTCGTGGTTTCAACGTTTTGTACAAACGAACGACACAATGATGATGTAACGTTATAACATTTCCTCAGAAAAATAAAAATATAACAATTCATGAAATATAATGCGAAAACATACATTTCCAGATGAGATGCCAGTAACTTTGCTATGAATGGTTTGTATCTAAAAAAAAAACAACAGTTTGTTAGTATTCAATTGTGAAATTTTATGTTATTCGACAAAAACATGATACTATAATATTGAAATAATTCAAAACAAATGATAATAAAATTATCTTAACAGAACTTTCATCGACTAGAATACCAAGTTGTTGGAAAATAACACCATGAGTTTTCATGGACTTGAGCAAGAAAAATAAATTGATTGGAAGAGATATATCTTGATTTTGTCGTGATGTAAAATTTCGGAATACATTTTACTGAGTACAATCAAGTGAACTCTATAGACATTTAACAATAGATAACAAATATAACTTCTCATTTTGGTTTTGAAGAATATTCATATTTCTTTATTTTTTTTTCAATGAAATCCGAGAACATCTATATATTTCAGTGTTTGACTTTTTGAACATTCTTCATGAAAATAGTATGAACCTTTCTTGAAAAGTACTCTGCAGACAATAGATTTGCAGGATGTGTATGTTCGTATTTGTGGAAATGATCCATGAAAACTGAATCGAAAACATGTATATTTTTAATAATCATCAAAACCAAAATATTTCTCTCCTTCAAATAACTTGTAAGCATTACAATCTCATCACTGAATTTGATTTTTTACATCATTGAGTAAAACAGAATTGACTCCGATTTTATCTAATGATTTCAATATTTCTGAAATAATGTATTTCATTTGTTCCTGGCTCACCTCTTTTGTTGTCATCATCATTCCAAGGTTGAACATTTGTAGTTCCAAATGCAAGAAATATGGCATTAGTGACAAAATACATACCAGCGGCAATATAAAAAATTATTTTCCATTGCTTCGGATCTTCCTAAAATTGAAAGTAATTTGAGAAATAATCATTTAATTTACACATCAACAAAATTTTGTTGGAATAATCATGAATGTAGGTAGTATATTCATCGATTTCTTAATCGGTTCGCTTCTTTTGAGGGATAACAAAAATGAATAAACTTTTTTGTGAAAATTCAGGAAGTGACTCATGATCGTGAACATTTGTGAAGTGAAATAGCTCTATAATTCGAGAAAAAATTGAAAGAAAAACTAACTGACTTCTTGACTTGAACTGATACTACTTAGATTACGTGAATTGAAAATTTCCTCAATGACAATTGATGATTTTGTTCCTTCGTAAAAATGGATATTGAAATGTTTCTGAGAGAATATAATATCTTAACTGCAAAAGTACAAAATTCTTTTTGGAGCAAGATATAGGGAAGTTGAGAAAAAATTTGACTTGATGGAAAATCATGAGATATGATAATGAAATGGAATATTACCGTTGTTACGATGTTACGGGCAACGTGATCAACTGGGCATTATTAATAAGGATCGGCCATTATTGGAGCGATGGGCAAAGTCATTAATTTATCACTTTGACCGGCCATTATCAATAATTCCCGACGGCCTGTGGTCCATGTAATAAGTCAGTGTTTGAAATAGCTTGAATTCATCACTTGGACCGGGCAGTATGAATAATTCTCTACTTGTAGCCGGGCAATGTGATAAATTGGACCGCGACCGTGGCTTGCAACATGCGAGGGGCGCGTACATGCGCATGTTGTATTGATTACGTTAATCTTACAAAATGGCGGCATCCATGGATATGATGAATATGAAAAGACGTTTTAACGAAGAAATTCATAAATTGAAATTAACGAACGGGAAAAAACACGCAGTTATTTTTTCTCGATGAGTATTATTCATTTTTAACCAAAGTGCAAGTGACAAAAGACAAAATCGCTGGCAAAACTCCGGAGGAATATCAGCGATTGTCGAGGTATGACAGTGAAGATCGAAACAGTTCAAAAATTAATCGTTCCAGTGAGAAATGACAGAGAACCAATTCAATATTACTGTTATTTGGAATAAACGTTTTCTATTATTCATGAAACTCACATTTTTATCGGGCATGGAGGTAGAAATAGGATGATAAAAGACCTCAAACCAAAGTACAAAAATATTACTAAAGAGTTTGTGGCGTTATATTTGGCTTTGTGTGAACCATGTCAAAAAAAATTAAGTGTTCCAAAAAATGGGCTAGTCGTTGAGCCTATAAAAAGTAGTGAATTTAACTCACGATGCTAAGTCGACTTAATCGACATGCAAACACAAGCAGACAATGATTTTAAGTTCATCATGGTATATCAAGACCACTTCTCCAAGTTTGTGATTCGTATACCATTAAAAACAAAACGAGCCGAAGAAGTCGCATATCATTTATGGATATCTTCACAATATTGGAGCTCCATGCATTTTGCACAGTGATAATGGTAGAGAATGATAAATAAAGTTATTGTCGAACTATGCCAAATGTGGGAAGGACCCAAAATTGTACACGTCAAACCCCGTCATAGCCAATCTCAAGGTTCAGTAGAAAGAGCAAATCAGGATATAGAAAAGATTATATTTACATAGTTGGAGGTAAATGAAACCACAAAATGGTCGGAAGGTTTAAGATTCGTACAGTTCATGCAAGCAACAGCTTTCACAAGTGATAATAACTCAGGTAGAACCCTGGTCAATGCAATAGAATGAAAAAATCAGGTATATATAGAATAGAATGTGGCGAATGCTCTGCAGTATATATAGGCTGGCTGGAACATTAAAAGATCATTTCTTAAGATTAATTTTCATGTATTGGATTTTTGGCCTTTGAGAGTGCCGTCAAATTTAAGTGTGTACAATATAGTTCACTTCGACTATACCAATTCTGTTTGTACAATATATAGATTTACTCTGCTATCTTGAAAACCTGTCACTTTTTCAAAAGACACTCTCTCAATAGAATATCTACGACAGAAAATATTTGATAATAATTGCAAATTACTAGACTTATACAAATCCATATATCACATTTCGCTATGATCTTTGTCAATATTGTTATCAACATTTTGAGGTTGGTCAGTAGTGAATTGTATTTGCAGCTTGTGTTGAACGGACTGTTCAAACCTTGGCGGCATGATACGAAATACAAATCAAATTGTATAAACAATAAAACTTTTGTTTCGGATATGAGGTATCGTTCTCTTTATTCAAGATTTAATGGTAGGCTATTATTCCAAAGAAGTATCTACCATTCGGTAGATACATGGAACGAGCAACTGACCTCCAGTAGATGCGGAAAATAATAAAAATGAAAGTTTGTAACGATGAAATCAAAAAGTGTTACCTCATTTGTGACAAGGGCCTGGACTAACAGTGGAGCTAATATAGCAAAAATATTTGCAACTCCATTACAAATTCCCATCAGGAGACCAGCATGATTCGGAGCTAAATCTACATGATTGATGAAGAATCCACTGAGACTCGCTGCATTAATGCCAACTATTACGACGAGTAGAACCAAAGCATATGTGGAATCATCTTGATCACAGTTCCCGAGGAATATCAGAGATATTGCTGGTATGAGGTATCCTGTAAATTGATGAATGAAAATGGTGAATCAAATGATTAAAATTAGTCTCTACAAAAATATCCCAGATAAAACTAAAAAAGAGTTTTGTAAATCATTACATATGTGGATCATGAAATAGCAAAACCCACTAATAAATCGAAAGCAATGTTGCAGATGATAAACAATTTCAGAAAAAATTACCAACGAAACAATAAAATCGAATTGAGTGATGGTAATGTTGAGATATGAAAAAACAAGATGGCTAATAACTTCAATGTCTTTTTTGCCATATGGTGTGTCACGATGAGAACTTATCGAAACAATATTCCCATCTGTCATAACTTATTTATCTTGCATACCATTAATAAATATGGTATAGTTGATTTGATAAAAAAACTAAAAAACTCGGGTGCAAGTGGTTATGGTAAGATTTCGAACAATCTCCGAAAAAAATGTGCTGCACCATCAACCTATCACTAGAGTTTATTCCCATCTGTCATAACTTATTTTTCTTGCATACCATTAATAAATATGACATAGTTGATTTGATAAAAAAACTAAAAAACTTGGGTGCAAGTGGTTATGGTAAGATTTCAAACAATCTCCGAAAAAAATGTGCTGCTCCATCAACCTATCACTAGAATATGGAAGTATTCCTGATAACTTGAAAATAGCCAATGTTGTACCAATTTATAAATAGGGTGATAAAAATCGACATAGAAACTATAGGGGTATTAGTTTGCTTCCTGTTATATCAAAAGTATTTTTTCTATGAATAACTTTCTCTCATCACATCACCATGGATTCACAAGGAATATGAATATTGGAACTGCTCTACGTGATTTGTGATTTGAGATTTCAGTGAACATATCATGAAGGCTTTTGATTGCAAAATACACATTTGTGATTCATTCATCTATCCCGAATTTCATACCGATAGCATGCGTGTACTCTTCCACCACCCTCAAGGACTGATGGAAGCAGGATAATTATCATTATCATTGTTGTTATTATTATTATTATTATTGACACTGAAGATTGATAAAATCTTCGAAACGTCACCAGATAAGTATAGAATTATAAAAGATTTCCGCGAATAAAAATTTGAACATCTGGATTTTGGATTGAACCGCGCTCAAAGTTTTGCATCGTTTGACGTTTCGGCTTCGACTTTGAAGCCATTTTCAAACAGTAGAAAATTGTGGCTATACTGAGAGATACCCCTTGGGGTTTTGATGCTCTGGTATGAACCTCATTGACCCATGTTTTATCCAAATATTCTATTAACATTCTCTTTATATCTAGGTTACTTTAAGTTCTTTCTATATCAGAAAAAAAATGTCTCAACGAATAACTGAAAAAACTTCATTCAATGAAGGTATTTCATTTTTTATGTAAATTTCTTCGTAGATAAAGAAACACTTTCTGCCAGTGGATACTTTCAGCTCCAAGAAGTTGTAGTTTTCCTAGAGTTCCTTGAGAATTCTAAAAGTTGTCGATCTGTTGACACTGGTCGTACTCGAACATTTTCGCACTCCTTCCTTCTTACTTGTTATTGTACATTTGAAAAGTTATTCAATTCATAACAATTTTTAATGCTGACAGTTTTGTACGGTTCATGGTTCCTGGACGATTAGCTTCCAACAAATAATGTGATATTTTTTGCTATGGAAAAAGCCAAGTCGGTCCTATTGATGGGTGCAGTGTACTTTTTGATGATATAATTCGAAGGAATATCTATTTACACCGCCTTCAAGAAAACAATGTTTTTTCAATCCCCTTTCACTAAATACTCATTTGTTGGAAAATGTCTTTTACTAGTGGACATATTTTCACATTCGTCGTAGTCGATTTGTTATTTTGTTTGATTTGAATGAGATTTTTCAAAAAAAAAATTGTATATTCTTTCATTGAATTCTTTTAGAGTAAATGATTTGAATGCAGTACGTCTATGGCACTGATTAATATTGATGATCAGCTGTAGTTTCTTCCATTTTTGAATAGACTGTAATGCAAAGTACGATGAGAATGGAGTGATCCTTGTCGATGCTTATCCATTTTAACGCTACCGTAATTGTGACGTGGAATGTCCTGATTGGTCGGCGTCGTGCATGCTCGGTAAGAAGCGTTCTGGCCTTGATTTCGGATATAATGGTTTTCCGTGCTACTGAGAGGTAGTATGCGTTATCTCTTTTGTTTAGACTTCCAATTTCCTCTCGCCACTGTTCGAGTAACTCTCATATATTCAAGTAGTGCAAATTAACCACGACCTGTTCGTGGTATTCAGGGCGATATCATTCAACTCTACATAGCACACAGTTGCAAACATCTGATTTCGCAACCCCATCACAATGATAATATACAGCGCAGCGTCTAGTCAGGCGAATTTTGAAGCAGCTCAGTCTCAACAAGGCGTTTGGTCCTGATGAATTGCCCGTTATCGTACTTTAAAAGTGCGCAAATGAACTGGCACCAGCATTTTCCAGACTTTTGAACCTGTCTCACAAGGAAGGGGTTTGCCCTTCTTGTTGGAAAATTGCTTGTGTTCAGTCTATTCCCTAGAAAGGCCAGAAAACTCTTTGAAATAACTATGAACCAGTCGCTTTTTTTCAGTGATATCAAAAAAACATGGAGAAAACGGCAAAATCAGCATATCCGCGAATAATTGGAAGGCTTCAACATCTTGAGCGATCATCAATGTGGTTTTCGGAAGCAAAGATCAACAGGCGACCTTCTATCGTATATCACTAATATTTGGAACAACGCAATCCAGAAATATGAAGAGTCGAGAGCTGTTGCGCTTGATATTCCTAAGACTTTCGACCATGTATGGCATGAGGGTTTGCTAGCCAAACTTCGATGCTATGGCTTGTCAGATTATTTTTGTGTATAGCTCTTCAGCTTCCTGGAAAAACGTTCCCTGCAAATGGATGTCTTATTGGAGAAAATCAATAATCCAATATATTGCGTTGCTGACGACAGCACACTTATCCCGTTATTGCATTTGGATGCCAAGATATCGGATGCGGAAGCACTTCTTCACCGGCAGCAGGAGGTTGAATATCCCAATGAGGATCTTGTTGTAATTGCGAATAGAGGTGAAAGTAACGAGATTCGATTCAATGCCACAAAAACCCACGCATCGGCTTTTTCCAAGAAGATAAATGTCTCCGAACCGGATATAATAATGTCAGGTTAGACAATTCCGCTTTCTGCTTCGATAAGTTTGTTGGGTGTTGAAATGGACACCAGTATATCTTGGCACGGTCATGTCGCTGGAATTGTGAAGGCTGGAACACTGTTCCGAACCAGAAAACTGTGCATCCCTCAGCAACTTTTGATTTTTTATAAAGCTCAAATCAGATATTCTTTCGAGTATTGTTTTCATGTATGGAGCTCCGCCCCACAAAATATATCCTGAGGCTGCTGGATTCCATCCAAAAAAGAGCCATCCGCCTCATCGGAGACGAGAACATCACTCGCAACCTGGATAGTCTAGAACATCGAAGAGAGGTTGGAGATTTATTTCTCTTCTATAGATACTTTCACAGGAAGTGAGGAATGAGGTTCAACTCAGTACACTTCAAATTTCACTGTTCAAGAACTCTCCCATTCGGTTAACGTCGTTTATGTGAAATAAACTTTCAAAGTTTCTCCAAATGGATTCAATCTCCAGCGATTCAAATCCAATGTGAATCACTACTTTCGCACTGGCACCGCTTTAAAATCGGACAATGGAAGTCTGAAGTGATGAAATCCACCATGAACCATTGTAAACCACCTTCAAACAAACGAAAGAAATTATTTCACAATGAGGCTCGTTGTGAATTCTTAGTTCAGTTTTCAAATTGCAGGGGTTATTTTGCTCAGAATTTGTGCAGATCTCGCTTCAAAAATCTAACCTGTTTATGATTGGGTACATCTGAAGTATCTCAAATTAGCAGATCTACATCTCAACTACATTATTGAGAGTGGTCGAGTGATAGGGTCTCAAAATGAACCGATTGCATTCTCAAGGAGAAAAATAAAAACAATTTTCAACAAAACTTTCAAGTATTATTTTGTAAAACTTGATCCTGAAGAATTGATTGGAAATGTTTTGTTTAAGGAAAAATTCCTGGATGAATTATTTTGATTCCAGAAGTTGAAATTCGTGAAAGTAAATTTCTAGATACTGTTTCTGGAAATGATGAGGGACGCTTTATTTCAACTTTATTTGTTCAAGATGCGAAATTCTAATTTCCGAATAGTCGTGAATTTACCTCAAAACGATTTTACTTAGAAACCTAGAAAATCTTTTATTGAAAAGAGTGTATTTATTTTTCAAAAGAGTACCTTGATTCACAGCATATCGTGAAAATTGATGATGAGATGATGATTCCTCGTGATCATCGGTTTTATATTAATACACAACATAACCCCGCTCTCATCGCTTCTCGCAGCGCGCTATCTTTGAAACTCATCAATTATGCTTTATGGTGGGTCGGTCTTGATTTTTCGAAATCACTGGCATATGCGTGGCCAATTTTCCAAGAAGATATGGTTGTTAATCACGCCATTATCGCGGAAGAGAAGATTGGTATGGTCCTGTCAAGGATTCCTTCTGAACATATATTAGATATTCTGATTCAGCAAAATTCAACTTTCAGTATTTTATATATTGAGATACATTTTCTATGAAAAAAACTCCTACAGTAAAATATAAATTGATTCTTATTTCACGTTGAACTGCAGAACTCTTTACTGTATTTGGTGAAACATATTCAACACTTATCTTTTACAAATAAAATTTTTGAAATGGAAATTGATTGAATTTCACCAAAACCCTGTGGGAAGTGGAATATATTTTTGCATGAAAATTCTGTTATGAGAGTTGGAGGTCGCCTTTATTATTCTAACCTTCAATATGATAAAAAACATCTTGTATTGAATTGAAGGGGTTATATTTTTAGGAGTGATTAATTTTTTTTTGGGAAAGAAAGTTTTTGGCTTTCTACTACTCCATCTGATACAAAAAAAGGGTCGAGAGTATCTTCCAAAGAAAAGAAGGAAGTAATCAATTTGAAACTGTGTAAATGAAAATGTGTAGATCATGCAAAGAAGTAACTTTCAGACACAAACTGAAAGAAAGTCCTCCTGAAACAGCTACTTTCATATGAACATTGAATTACACGAAAGAAAATAATTCTTTCGAAACAAATACTTCTATATGAACACTGAATTACACAGAAGATACTTCTCTCTACTCAGTTTGTATTTCAAACATTTGTTGTGGAATAAGAATCAGATATCATTCACATGAGTTCTACTTTGAATGAATGGTAATAAATAAATTCAATGTTTATATGAAAGTAGCTGTTTCAGGAGGACTTTCTTTCAGTTTGTGTCTGAAAGTTACTTCTTTGCATGATCTACACATTCATGTATAGAGTTTCGAATTGATTACTTCCTTCCTTTCTTTGGAAGATTCTCTCATCCCTTTTTTTGTATCAGATGGAGTAGTAGAAAGCCAAAATCTTGTATTGCTCCCTTGATTATTGAATATACTCACTTGAAATATTTGAATTAAAGTGCTTAGACAGAACCACACGCCATGTATCACCCAAATATGTTCAGTGTTTTCGTTGTAAACCTACTGCGTTTCAATAAAAAAATAATGATTTTCCGAGTCAACAAATTCCAATACCCAACAGAAAAACAATAACTAACCCATCTAATGCCGTGCAGAGAGTTGAAGTGAAACCATCAGGCACCTGTGCAACGTCTTCGACTTGGAAGATTCGTCGCAAGTTATTTTCCACTATAAAAAGCAGAAATTAATTTCGTTTGGTCGATCCAACCAACCGATAGACCGGTTTCGGGGTGTTTGTCATATCATCAGTACCGGGCATGGTCTCTTCATAACGGTGTGAACCATCTGAGTATCATGACCAAACATATATAATTCCAACTAGTTATGGAATCTCTCTGCAGTTGATTCAGTGGGATGTCCACTGCGTTGTTATTTTTCCGTTGGGAATCTGCCAAACGTACCTAAAAATTCGTAGGTCTGCATGAGAGCAAATGGGCAACCTTGAGCATGTCATGTATATATAAACATTCAGCATCTGAAGAATTTATAAGTTTTCACCACCTAGAGCGCCAAACATGGGTGGCTTTTTATGAAGTGACGTGAAATCAGTTAAGACGCATTTGTATCAAGTTATTCCGTTAAAAACTCATCAAAGAATTCAACTCTGTGTTCTTACGAACAAAGTCGAATATTCAAGTTGCAAATACGCAACATCAATAAACATGAATTTTCAAAACAATAATACCATCAGAATTCAACAACTAATTTCACGCCTGCTATTGATCTACATCGGAGATATATTTGAGCAATCAGGCTTTCCAGGAGAAGATAAGGCTGGTTGAGACCATTACAATCGATGTCCCACTCTTAGCACTGTGCTGTTTTTTTCATTGAAGATTCAGAAAATTATCTCGAGAGTAATCTTTCAACAAACAGAATATTTGGTTTTTTCATGAGAATCAAGTCTAATATTTGATTTTATCGATAATCATAAATAAAACATACTCACCGATGCAATTCATTGTTTTCCTTGACGTTTGAATCGATAAAATTTTTTTAGTAACGAGTACGTCGGAGATGTATCCAAAGAATGATCCAAAAAACCAATGTGATACATGTGGCAGAGATGACAAAATGCTATTCTGAAAAAGGAATACACAGTTATCTAAGATCAATGTATATTCCGCTATACTCACCGATTTCAAATCAAACTTCATCACCTTATTCATGTATATTGGGGTCTCCGTAAGAAGGGTCCAAAATCCCCAAATGAATCCACATTGCGATAGCAACAGGGCCCAAAATGGAATTGAGGAGAATATCTTGAGCCAAGGTGTCGGTATTTTCTATAAAAAGTAACATATTTCACACAAGAAAAAAGTTCAATCAACTACAAAATGCAGTCGAATTACTTGAAACAATGGAGTGTATACACATGAAAAAAAAATATACATGACCTTCCTGAAGAACTAATGAAATCCCGAGAAATCAATGATTATTTTCTTCATGTTATCCGCAATTCCATTATTGATACAGAAGCAATAAGCCACGTCAGAAATTGTGAATTCAGCTTTTCCTGAATCATAAACTAGAAAGTATACACCAATTCAGAGTGATAAAACTTTTATCCGGGTCGAACACATCTATCTTTTTGGAGAGAAACGATGCTTGTGTTTTCGTGGCATTGAATTGAACCTGGTTACGTTCACCCTAATTCGAAATCACCTGTAGATCCTCATTGATAAGATATATAACCTCTTGCTGCCGGTGGAGATGTGCATCCGCAGCAGATGTCCTGGAATCTAAATGAAATGACGAGAAAAGTGTGCTGTCATCAGCAAAGCAATATATTGGATTCTTGATAATGAATATAAAATGATTTGGAGACGATATGTATCCCTGGGGAACATCAGCGTTGATAGTAAAAGTATTCGGGAGATTTTCGTCGACGGCCACTTGCAGGAAACATTCTTTCAGAAAGATGGAAGGTCATACACAAAAATGATCGGACATAACATCGGTTAGGCCAGAAAACCGTCATGCCCCGCTTGGTCGAAGGCCTTAAAAATATCAAGCACAACAGCTATTCTCCATTTCTACGATTGCAAAATACAGTAAAATTCTGAAACACAGCATAACATTTTCTGATTACGATAATAAACAATATTTATATTTTCAGTTTTCACAAATACCTTAAAATATTCAAAATATAATTTTCTCAAATCTCAGGACTCTGTATCAAATACACTAAATAATTTCCAAGTGCACGATAATTGAAAACTGAAGAATTGAAAAAATAAAAACATACACTAAAAAAAATTTTTTGGCAACAGAGAGAGTAATGTCTTTCATGAAGTAATTGCTACACTTATAATGAAAATGAAAAAATCAAGTGTCATTCAAAATAATGAATTTAAAACACATATTCTGCACGTACTAAGTGAAGGAAATATATTGTATGGAAACACGACTTTATGCGGATCATATCTGTTGTTATGATTTGTGGTAATATTTTGGTGACCCACCATGTTTCATTTATTATCATAGGTGTCTGCGCACTTGCTCGGCCCATCTGTCGGGTCAGCAGTCAGTCATCAGTTGACATACGTAGCATTAACATCCATTGTCTCAAGCTATACATTTTTCAATATTATATACTTCGAACAGTATTCATCATTTTATTTGTGGTTCAATTAATCACATGCATGCAATCATAATAATAATTATGAAAATCAACAATCACAATCATTCCACAACTTTAAACATGGTCCTTCGATAGCCAAATATCATTAAAACGGTTGAGAATCAGCATCGATAACATTCAGACGTTACAAGCCGTCGATTCCAGGCACTTTCAAAAAAAGGTTGCAATCGAGTATTGGACAAAGAAGTCAACAAATACAAAAACAATTCCTAAGTCGAGATAAGTTTTTCTACATCCGACGAATAAAAAGAGATCCTAATTTCCACAATCCGTAAGTCAGTTTATGTTCCCTTTTTCATTTATTTACCGTCAATATTTGTGTAGGGGATTGGTGGACTTATGTTTTTACCTTTCAATTTGCAAATTATTTAAATTCATTCAACACAAATAAAATGGAAGAACAATTAAAATCATTAGTGGCTCGCCGTGGCCAACTAAAAGGCCAGGCCACTAGATTTGCTAATTATTTGCTTGATTCTGGGTTACAGCATGATCGCTGGGAACTACAGGAAAGAGTAGCTAAACTTAAAGAAAATTGGTATGAATTTGAAAGAACACAATCAGCCATTGAATTATTAGATGATTCTGAAGCACAGCTGGTGGAGAAGGAAGCATATGAAAAAAAATATTATGAAATGATTTCCAAATCAGAAAATATTTTAACACGTTATGTTAGTGGCAACTCCTGCAGCATCGAATCCTCTCAATGAGTTCCATTTAAAATAACCTTTGATAAATTTACCTGAATTTGATGGATCATATGATACATGGTTGCAATTTTATGAAACATTCAAGGGTCTTGTTCATGAAAATTCTGTTTTGAGTAACATTCAAAAATTTTATTATTTGCAGTCGTGTTTGAAGGGTGATGCTAGGCAGGTTGTGCACTCCTTAGAAATTTCAGAAAGTAACTATGATATCGCGTGGAACCTCTTAAAAGAACGATTTGAAAACAAAAGGGTAATCATTCACAATCATGTAAAAAATATTTTTGATTTTCCAAATATACAAAGGGAGTCACATATTTCTTTGAGAAAATTATTAGATAACATGTTAAAACACACTAGGGCATTGAAAAGTCTTGGTGAGCCAGTGGACAGTTGGGACACTTTGTTAATTCACATCATTACAACCAAACTTGACTTTCAAACGCAGAGAGATTGGGAATCCTCAATCGACAAAAACACGAATCCTACATTCAAGGCATTAGAATCATTTATTATTAAAAAATGTCAATTGCTCGAAAAACTCGACAGTAAATCTATTCAAAAACCTAAAATTAATGAAAAGTCATTAACTCATATCACAGTCAATGAAAAAACTTGCATTTTTTGCAAAAAACAGCACTTAATATATCAATGTTATAAATTAATGTCTTTATCAATTAAACAAAGATACATAGAACTTAAAAAACTAAAGATTTGTACGAATTGTTTACGGACAGGACATTCCGTAGAAGTTTGCAGGTCAGCTCATAGTTGTAAAAAATGTAAAAGGAGACATAATTCTATTTTACATGATGACTCATTCGTCAATACAACAAATAACATTAATAGAAGTCATTCGAACACATCAAACAGTCAAATTGAACAAAACAATTTTGTTGAATCAAGTGAACCCAGCATCTCTAGTGACATATCAAATGCGGCACCTATTCAAACATTGACATCTCATTTTTCTCAAGGGAACCAAAATCAGGTGATTCTGTCGACAGCAATTATTTATATTCTTGATTCTAATAAAAATCCAATTAAATGTAGAGCCCTGCTAGATTCTGCTTCTCAAAGCAATTTCATTTCACTAGAAGTGTTCAAGAAACTCAATCTACCTGCTACTAATGTAAACTCACCTGTATGTGGTATTAGTCAGTCAACAATTAATATATCATCTCAATGCAATATTCAAATTCGCTCAAAAGATGGACAATTTTCTAACAATCTTCAATTTCTTATTATAAAACAAATCACATCAAATATTCCGCAATTTTCATTTGATCCCTCGTGTCTAGATATACCCGATGAAATAGAATTAGCAGACCCAGAATATAACATTTCACAAAAAATCGAAGTATTACTTGGTGCATCAATATTTTTTGATCTCATAGTCAAGGGGCAAATTAAACTAGGGCGAAATAAACCCATTCTCCAGAGAACTCGATTGGGTTGGATAATTTCAGGATCTTTACAAATTAAGAACCAGAAGCTCATCCGAGTTGCATGTTATCAGTAAACAATTTACTCAACGAGCAACTTGAAAAATTCTGGAGCATTGAAAATGTCACCCAAACGAAAACTCAATTCTCTGATGAAGAACTGGAATGCGAAAGTCATTTCCGCCAGAATTATTTTAGAGATCATGAAGGCAGGTTTGTAGTCAAACTTCCTTTGAAAGAGTCGTACAAGAACTTAGGAGAATCATTGAATGCTGCTATTAGCAGATTAGAGTCAGTAGAAAGAAAGCTTTCTAAAGACATTAATCTTCGTAATCAATATGAGGAATTTTTAAATGAATATGAGCAACTGGGGCATATGTCCAAAATTGACATCTCTCTCGATGACCCCAATGACATAAAATTTTATTTGCCTCATCATTCCGTCATCAAGGAAAACAGTTCTACAACTCGTCTACGCGTGGTTTTTGATGGATCATCAAAAACTTCAACAAATCTATCGTTGAATGACGTGTTGAGGGTTGGACCAACAATTAAAAATGATTTGGTTTGCGTTTTGCTGCGCATGCGTATCCCCAGATTTGTTGCAACAGCAGATATATCCAAAATGTATAGAATGGTGAAAGTTCATCCTGAGAATAGAAACTTGCAAAGAATCGTTTGGAGGAGTAATCCATCTAAAGCTATTGAACATTTTCAACTCAACACTGTTACATATGGTACATCAAGTGCTAGCTTTTTAGCTACTCGTTCTCTGCATCAAGTGGGTTTGGACTGCCAAGCTGAATTTCCTAATATTAGTGACATTATCATAAACAATTTCTATGTTGATGATGTTATATTTGGTTCAGATACATTGTCTGACTTAATTCAGTTAAAATATGAACTTAGCAATATTTTGCAGCAAGCAGGCTTTTTATTAAGAAAATGGGTTTCTAATGATCATAGAATTTTTGAAAATAAAACGGATCAATGTTCTTCTACCATTTTTGAAATAAGAGATAGTAAAGAAAGAAAAACTTTGGGTATTACCTGGAACTCACAACAGGACCGTTTTGAATATTCTGTCATTCTCAATTCACAGTGTAACCNATAGAGGCAATTTTAAACTCGCGTCCTCTGATTCCTCTGTCCAATGATCCTAATGATTACCAATCTCTTACACCTGGACATTTTCTAATTGGTGATTCCCTGCTGAGTATACCACAGTCAAATGTCATTGACATCCCGTCCAATCGTTTGAAACATTTCCAACGACTACAACAAATGGTACAGCAATTTTGGAAATGGTGGAGTAGAGACTACCTCCACAGCCTGCAACAACGTTCCAAATGGCAGCAAGATTCCACCAGGTCAATACAATTAGATGCGTTAGTTCTCCTCAAGGATGATAGCCTCCCCCCATCGAGCTGGCGTACTGGGCGCATTGAAGCTGTCCATCCTGGGCAAGATGGAATAGTGCGCGTAGTGACTGTGCGCACGACTAGTGGTAATTTCAAACGCGCAATAAATAAAATTTGTTT